CTTTATCTCAAAGTAATCGCCATATCACGGAGGCCCATCTTGGGGTGGCTTGTTCTGAACCCCTCCAAACACTAGCAGTCAAGGATCGCTGAGGGCCATTTGGAGTGTCCCTCAGAAAAGGTCTTACGTTGTCCTCCAGCTAGTAAAAATTCCAGCCAGCCAACCTGCAAACCTCAGGCGGCTGCTGTCCCAGGATTGAGCTGGCTGAGCCCTCTTTCCTGGGCCGAACAGTGCAGCACAGGTTACACGGCTTTCCCGTTTCCATCAAACAATACCAGTGGCAAATGGGTCAGGAGAGTGGGGACATATTTTCTTTAGAGCAGGAGTTGGCCAACTTTTTCCATAACGGACCAGATCATAAGTTATTTAGGCTTTCTGGGACAAGAGGTCAAGTCGATGATATGAAGTAGGTTCTTATGTGGCAGAAGAGAAAACTCTGCCCTGCCCCACCACCCATTCGCCGGGGGGGGTGGGCGGGGGTGCAATCCCCAGTGGTGGACAAAGGTGATGACCCGTTGCCATCAGATGGAGACAAAGAGCCACTGGCCTGATGGGGGTGGGCTTGATGGACAGTGGGGGAAGGACAGTTGGTTACCAGTCAGTTTCACTCTGCCAGTGTCATCTAGACCCTGGAGCACAAGTCCAGTCATCTCAGCTGGGGCCACTGGCCAGAGCGGAGCAACTCTCCCAGTTGCTGACTCCTGAACTGGGACTCCATGCCTTGGTCCGGAGCTGTTGCCAATAGCAAAGTCCCCAACATGTTTGTGGTGACCAGCATGGGCCCTGGCAGGGGTGAGATGTGATCCTTCCCCAGGGAGGCCGGCGCTGGGAGTGGAAGGCAGAACAGGGGCCGGGGCTGCATGTGACTTTCGTGGGGTCTTGGTGCTTTTGCCTTCATGGGCCCTTCCTCCATTAAAACATATTAAAGATTATATTTCATAACTGTGTTGATCTATGGACCAATATAATCCAGACTGGATTCTATCCTTCTGATTTTAAAATATCTTTGTGGGTCCCTAAAAGTATTGGGGGTCATAAACCCTGTATGTACTATGCTTAATGGGTAAGTCAGCCCTGATACAGGGGGAGGGGGCCACCCTGGCTTAGCTCACAATGCTGTCTTCTGGAGCAGGGTCGAGGGCACACAAAAGCAAGTGGTGGGTTATGATTGGCTGGCCCCTGCTCTAGATGACCAAGATGAAATTAGCTGAGAGAATTTCCAATTTCCAATTGGTTCTCTTAGAGGGGCTTGGCTAGAGGCGAGGGGGACACCTAAGAAAAGACATGGTCAACCAAAGTGACTAGTAACCACTACAGAGAGTTAGATCTCCTGCCAGGTCCTGCCCCCTAGCCCTCACCTTTTTTTTCCGAATGAAGTATCACCTGTGGAAAAGTACATAAAACATATGCACAACATAATGAATTATCGAGAAGCAAACACTCATCCAGATCAAGAAACAGAACTTGCCAGCACTTCCAGCGGTCCCTCTTGTCCCCCTCCCAACCACTGCCCCCTCTGTCCACCTGAAGAGGGGACTGACCTGACTTCTCACCCTGTAGACCAGTTTCATTGCACCTACAGCATTGCACTCTGGCGCCTGGCCTCTTTCATCATGGCCCTGGTTGCTCTTGTGTTTCTGGAGGGATGGGATGTAGTTCACCTCCCCTCACAAGATCCTGGGGCTGTCCTTTGGTCATGAGATTGATTCTCTTCGAGGGGCTTGGCTGGAGGCAAGGAGGGCCTGTGAGCCATCCCACCGCCCAGCCCAGGCTGCTCTGCGGACTAGAGAGAGAAAAGTTTCACTGATGCTACAAAGCGCCTAGCAGCAAACCCAGATGCCTTGTGACAGGCACACTAACACCAGGAAAACCAACGTGAGCAGTGACGCTGATGAAGGAGGTTCCTCTTGACCTCAAATCAGTCCTATTGCCTCTGAGACTCATTAGCCTCCACCTATTAAAAAGGAGAAATTAATTTATAGGGCAGACATGTGTGAGTGTGAGTCAAGTCTCTTACCTGGAGCCCGCCTCCGGAGTTCAGGGCTGCCGTGTGCAGCGGTGACGGCTGTGCGCCGCCCAACTCCAGGCGCATCACTCACGCAGAGCACGGCGTGGACGGTGCCGCGTGGAAGTGCGCAGTGCGGTTAGCAGGGATGTCAGCAGAAAAAGTCGCCTGGATCCAGACCACATTTCAACTTAGCATGTGGTCTAGATACATAGACCTTCACTGCTTATACATGTTTGGGGAGGAGGCTCTTCAAATTGTTTAAGTGTTCTTGTTAGCCCTGTAATCAGAAATCCTTTTGAGTGAGAGGGGGAGGGGGGGGAGAGGGAGGGGGGAGGGGCTCAGTAGGCTAGCTAGAATGATTGAGTCTGTATTTGGTGATCAAGAGGATTTTATAGGATCCCCTTTGAGTGTGTGTGGGAGAATGCGTGTAGTGAAGGTGGGCGGTGATTACTTTTTGAACATCAATTCTCTGTATCTGGAATGCACTTATAAAAGGAAACAGCTAGATACCGTATATATGTGAGATGTCCAGAATAGGCGAATCCATACAAGCAGAGTAGATTAGTGGTTACCAGAGGCCCCGGGATTCTTCTGGGGGTGATGAAACTCCTCTGGAAGTAGATTGTGGTGGTGGTTGCACAACTCTGGATATACTAGAAGCCACTGAATTATACAATTTAAAAGGGTGAATTTTATGATATGTAGATTAGATCTCAATAAAGTTATAATCTAAAAAAAGTGAAGAGACGCTCTTTGCTGACCTCAGGGCACCCCTGAAACTGTCCTCTCAAAGAAGGAACACTCTGAGCTTCAGGCATGATTGTCTTTCTCCCTGAAGGCGGAGCCTGGGACCGCTGTGCCCTCAGACCTGAGGTAAGTGCATCTGTTACAAACCACCCTGAGAGCCCCCAAGCTCTCAGCTCAGTCTCGGGTCTTGCGCCAAATAATCCTAATTTGGCTAAAATCCCGCCCAACACTGATATAGTATTATTTCAAAAACAACAATAAAAATCAGGTTTGAGACTCTGACTTGATACATTTTAGGATTCTCAGCTCTACTCTGAAAAGATGAAAAACCAGTGAGGACTCGTGGCTGTTTTCCTTTAAGAGGCGGAAGGTTGCTTTCAAATGAATTAAGAGCGTCCCTCTCCCTGTGCAGTCTCACTCACTGAGTGAGTAAGGGGCCTGCAGGTGGAGGGTCCTGAGATTGGGAGGCAGACCAGAGCCCCCACATCCCAGCCTGCCTTCGTCCACCCCCCACCCCGCCCCCATCCTGAGTGTGATAAATAGGGGTCAAATTTGGGCCAGGAGAGCACATTCCTCTCCAGAAGGCAGGGTATCGCTGGGAGCTGCTGCTTCCTGGACTGCAACTTGGGAGGATAGAGCTCAAGAGAGGAAGGCTCGAGCGGAGGGCTGCTTTTGTGAATAAGGGCATTCCAGTGCATCCTGACAATTGTTTATAAGGCCCAGTTCCTTCTAAGCAGTCGTCCAAATATTTTTAGAACACACGTTCAAAATGGGCCCGCTCCCATACTACACAGGGATGGGTCAGCAGGGGAGTCCAGGACTGAAATAGATCTTCTCTCTGTCTCTTCATGAGCACGCCACTTGGGCCCGAACGCAAAGGGACGCAGGCTGGTTGGGAAACTTTCCTGCCACTCGGTGTCTGATTTGAGAGTCAAGGCTGACAGAGTATGTTCCACGTACCAGGCGCCTTGTGGAACACTTTACATATGTTAACTCTTTCCCTCTTCACAATAGCCTATGCCATTGGTACAATTATTATCCCCATTTTAAAGATGAGGAGACTAAGGCACAGAGAGGTTATGGTGCCCAGGGTCACAAGCAAGCAAGCGGCAAAGCTGGGACTGGACCCCAGGCCGTGCACGCTCCTCCTTGCTACATGGTTTACCCAGCGGTTCTCAACCTGTGGGTCCCGACCCTTTCACAGGGGTTGCCGAAGACCATCGGAAAACACATATATAATTACATATTGTTTTTGTGATTAATCACTATGCTTTAATTATGTTCAATTTGTAACAATGAAATTGGGGGTCACCACAACATGAGGAACTGTATTAAAGGGTCGCGGCATTAGGAAGGTTGAGAAGCACTGGCCACTGTGCCATTCACAGATGCCATCGGAAGTTTCTCTGAACAGGCTCAGGTGACCCCGCAGGTCACTGCGCACCTGGAAGAGGCAGCTTACAGAATTGCTCCTCTTGATATGGCCGTGTGAAAGCTGAACCAGCGAGTATTCATCTCAGCCTCCAAACACTCTCCATAACAGAATCAGGGCAGCTGCACGCCACGGTGGGAACCTAAATTTCATTAGCAACAAGCCCCATCAGGCCCTTGATCTGGGCAAACTCCCTCCTTGTCCCTTTGGGCCTCGCCCAGAAATTAAAATCATATTGTCTGTGCAGTATGAAGAGCTGGAAATGTCCAGGCCAGAATGAGGACTTGTTTCGTCAGGAGCCTGAGGGAGTAGAAACTAGCCTCCAGCGTGAGCTTGTAGGATAATCTCATTATGAGAGGTTTCTAAATTCCCTAATTGTGCTGGAATGTGGTGTCACTTAAAACAGGATTATACATAAAAGAATGGGCTGGGTGTGGTGGTGATGATGGTAGAGGCTCGGGCAACTGCCTGATGCAGGGACTTGCTGAGTAATGCAGGCCCGTTGACCTAGTTGTCCTAACAAAACTTAACTTTATGGAGGTAGGTGGCAAAACTGCTCGCTTTTCGCAAGAGCCCTGCTAGTGTTGAGTGGGAGACGCCCAGAAGCAGCTGGCCATCGCCAGCCGGAAGTCAAATCAGCGATGGCCCTGCAGCAGCTTTGCTCACCTGAGCGGGCCTACCTGCCTCAGGGGTCCTGCTGGCCAACAGCTAGAAAATAAGTCACCTCAGTCACCCACAGGTCCTTGCCTAGTAAGAGCTCCATCGGTATATGCCAGTTCAAAACACAAGAAAGGAAGAAAGGAACGCAGATCCTCGTAGAAACACTGTATTCATTGTTGAAGACTGCTATGTTTAAGGCAAATGTCACACATACAAAACAGAGATGAACGGTACTGGAACAGTATTTACGACGAGTTACAAGAGAATCGTGGGGGAGACATCTTCAGACAATGAGAAAGTGGGACTTTTCCCAGCCAGGTCACTCCTGGTCTGATTGCTCTTGTGCACGGAGAAACAGACAGAAAAACAGCACCTACCCCCTCCCAGGGGAGGGGGTGATCACTATCGGGAAGAACCTGCTTCAGGCCGAGCTCGCGCTCTCTGTGCTGCGTTTCCAGGCACAGCACAGACAACGTGCAGTCACCGGGTCTCACTGCGCAGCTCTAACGTCCTCGTTTTGTGAAATTCACCGTTAGAAACAGGAAAATCAGGATGCCAGAGCCATTCAGCTTGCAGTTAGGTCACCTCTATCCACACTCAAACTTGCTTGGATTGGAGCTCAAACAACACACACACACACATACATATGTGTGTGCACATACAACCATAAATCTGTGGAAGAGGGAAAGACGAAATATGCTAAAGCCTTAGAAGCAGCGAATGTCCATTTGCAGTTTGTAATCAATGTGATTGTCTCCCCCTCTGAAAACAGAAGGGTATCAGCAAGCTCTAGCCAGGGGGTAAAGGTTTTGAGATAGCCCTGACCGGTTTGGCTCAGTGGATAGAGTGTCGGCCTGCGGACTCAAGGGTCCCGGGTTCGATTCCAAGGGCATGTACCTTGGTTGCAGGCTCGATCCCCAGTGGGGAGTGTGCAGGAGGCAGCTGATCGATGTTTCTCTCTCATCGATGTTGCTAACTCCCTATCCCTCTTCCTTCCTCTCTGTAAAAAATCAATAAAATCTATTTAAAAAAAAAAAAAAAAGGTTTTGACACACCTCAGCTCAGTTCCTAGCCACTCCAGGCATCACAGGAAAGGGGCGTGGCTTCACTGGTTTAAAGGTTTCAGGGAGCTGGGTCAGCTCTGTGCATCATGGCTCCTCCTCACCCCTTTGACTTAGGCTCAGGCCTCTGATTTTATAACAGAGGAGTCTGGCCATCTCTGTACCATCCACCCAGACTCATCGCAATGGAACACACATTGCAAAGGCGTGTTTCCCTCCTGCAGGGCCTGGGTGACAGCGAAACCACAGCAACAGGGAAAGCAAGGGAATGGCTGAGGGTGAAAGTCTGGGGGCTTTGACGGGCTGCGGAGGGGTGGCAGAAACGGGGCCTGGGCCTGGCAGTCACAGGGAAGCCGGTACCTGGAAATGCAATGGCAGGGGCGATGGCTGGTTCATGAAATCTTGGGGGACCTAGGAGAGGCTGCCTCTGATGCTGCGGAGGAGGTACACAGAGAACGAGCGGTGTGAGGAAGTGGCTAATGCACAGAAAGCAAAGCCCCACTCATAAATGGTGTCTTCACCAGGAGACCAAGGGCTTTGGAGAGAGGTATCACTTAGGTAAAAAAAATAAAAATAAAAATAAATCTCTGGCCGTTTTGGCTCAGTGGTAAGAATGTCAGCCCATAGACCGAAAGGGCCTGGGTTTGATTCCGGTCAAGGGCACGTACCTCAGTTGCAGGCTTGACCCCTGGCCCTGGTTGGGGTGTGTGTGGGAGGCAACCAATTGATGTGTCTCTGTCTCCCCCCCTCCCTTCCACTCTCTCTAAAAAATCAGTGGGGTGCGGGGGGGAGGGGGAGGGGGATAGACCCTCAGGAGGATTAACAACAACAAAAAATAGTAGATTGAGAAACCAACCAGGATCCTGCAGCAGAGTGGATGGCGAGGAAGCTATAGTGTTGTCAGAGGCCCAGGTCACAAAGCTGCAAACTTCCCCAGGGCTGGGAGGAGAATGAGAATGTGTGTGTGTGTGTGTGCATCCTGTCTGGTTAAGATGCTTCCCTTTCCCCTGCAGGCTGCATCCCTGCTCCTTTCTTTGATCTCAGCACTTACAGTTTACTCAATGCCTCTGACCAGAGAAGCCAGCAGCCCTACCACCATCTGGAGTATTTCTAACTTGACAATGTGCAGCACCGCCAGTCCACCAACAACCCTTGAACCAGAAGCCAGCTGTACCTAATTGTAAGCACAAACTCTAACACCCAGAGTCCCAGCTCAGCGAATTCCATTCAAGGCGAAGAATTTGGGAATTATCCAATCACTAAGGCTCGCAAGGCAATGTGACCGATGACTGCAAACCCCCTAAGTTTGCCTAGAAAGCACCCACCGCGGTGACTGGGTGCAGTGAAGGGCACATCTGCATGTTCCCAAGCTTTGACTGAGCCTGTTGTTTCCCCGAGCCTGGCAGCTCGATGGCGTGTTTCAGACGGACCCTGGTGCGCGCACATGGTTGCATCTAGACGGGGATCAAGCTGAATGTCAGTGTCCTAGTCCCCAGGAACCAGTTCTGGCTGGGAAGCCCACTGCCTGTGCTGAGAAGTGATCCTCAAACCGGTGATTGGGCCAACGCATTGCCCGGAGGCTAAAGTCGGTGAGGGCGGTGGGCGGCGCCCGGTGTCCGGTGGCTGGACTGACAGGGTGGGCACGACCGATGGCAGGCAAGCTGGAAGCCCAGCCCCATCACAGAACCGACTCCTTGGATTCCAGTTCCACGGCGCTGGCAGCAGGGCCGCCCGCCGGGTTCTGGTGTGTCACCAGCGGTGACGTCTCCTCCTCTGACTTGCAGTTGGGGATGGCTTCCACTTTCACCTCGCTCAGTTCCTGCGCCCCTTTCTTCATCGCCTTCTGATTCAGGTGGTGGAGAATGCCCGCACCCAGGGCGTCCCCCTCCACATTCACCACGGTGGTGGTCCGGTCCCTGGTGGGAAAGGAAAGGTAGGCGGTCCAGCCAATGCCACCGGCGGCAGCCGCCTGGGGGCAGCCCCGTCACAGGGGCCAAGGCCACGGGCAAGCTGTGACCCTCCGGGGCCCCTGCTCTTACCCAGAGTGCATGCTCCTAAGGGCATAAGGCTTCACTTTACTCTAGGTGAGCTTTCTTGTAATTTTTTTTCTTATAAAAGTAATAGATACCCAGGTTCCTGGACTCTAAGGCTCATTTTCTTATCCACGTGCTCTACTGTCCAACACTAGTACTTCAGCTAATCTTCCCTATAAAATAGGTATCGCCCCTACCTGAAAAAGGCATCACTCAACTCAAGGAATCAGCACTCAGAAACTGTTCTGTGTCTACAGGAGCTCTGCCGATGGCCGTCCGAATCACACCTCCTTCCTACTCCTCCTCCCCCGAGCCCAAGGCATTCCCATTAACCGGGTTCATCTTCCCTCTCCTCACAGAAATCGCTCTCTGGGCATTTCTGGCCAAGGACTATCTTCCCAAAGGCTCACTGCACCCATGGCCACGACTCCTACGGAACCAACACCTTCCACAGATTTTAGTGCCGTGCCCTCCCCTCTCCTCCCCCTCCCCGGGGGCCTGCGACCCATGCTTTCCCGGATGCTCTAAGCAAGTTCTTGGTAATAATATTTCATGGTCATTCAGAGTCTCTGACTCATGCTGTTAACTTTTCCTAGCTCTAAGTTTTGTCTTGCCAGCTCAACTGTGGGCTCCTTCACAAGGCAGGGAGCATGTTTGAAGTTTCTCCACACGCCTCAGGTCGAGCGGAGTGCCAAGCCCCTAGGGAGCTCAAGACAGACTTTCCTTTGTTCGCTGCCCTTAGGTAGGACTTGCTACTTACACAATCCAGTCCACAGCCAGGATCAGAGAGAGATCACGAGTGGGCAGCCCAATGGCCTCCAGGATAATGGCGATGGTGAGGACCCCTCCGGCCGGCACGCCTGCCGCTCCAACACTGGACGCCGTGGCTGTCACTCTAGGGATGGCACAACAGGGTCACCATGAACACAGAACATGGAGGGGGCACAGAGAAATGCAGAACATGGCAGCCATGGCGCGGCAACGGAAAACCACATGACCCTAGACCAGGGGTGGGCAAACTTTTTGACTTGAGGGCCACCATGGGTTCTTAAACTGGACCGGAGGGCCGGAACAAAAGCATGGATGGAGTGTTTGTGTGAACTAATATAAATTCAAAGTAAACATCATTACATAAAAGGGTACGGTCTTTTTTTTCAATAGTTTTATTTATTTCAAACGGGCCGGATCCGGCCCGCGGGCCGTAGTTTGCCCACGGCTGCCCTAGATTCTGCCCGATGAGCCTGCGAGAGACAATGCACTCTCTCCAAGTAATGGATTCACACTGTGCTCATTTCATAAATGAGACGCCGTGTCCTGGCCAGATTGGTACTTAGCAGGATTTTTCAAAGGAAATCACAAGAAATCCCTCAGGTTCTGAGCCAGGCCTAGAGTTAGGAGGGAGGAGTGAACTCACAGAATCGTGAAGATCTGCCCTGCCTTCAGCTCGATGTTGTTGAGCTGGGCGATGAACACGGTGGCCACGCACTGGAAGATGGCTGCGCCGTCCATGTTCACGGTGGCTCCGATGGGGAGAATGAACCTGCTGATCCGCTTGTCTACACCGTTGTTCTCTTCGATACACTTCATCATGGAGGGAAGGGTTGCTGAGCTGGAAATGGAGACACAACTGACCCTGAGAACAGTGCTTCCAAGGGCAACAGGCCGCTCGGCTCCGGCCCTGGACCGGAACCACGAGCACCACCCTCGTTTCTGGCTTTCTCCCCCGGAATACAAGGAAAGTCACAATGGCTTCAAAGTTTGTCACAACGTGGGTTTTTGCCAACTTCCGAAGCATTCAGAACCCGACTCACATTGACCTGCTGTGTTACTTACCTGGATGCACCTGTTCCAAATTTCTCAAGAACCACACTTGACCTTGTGGTACAAAAGGTTCTCAAGAGAACAAAGAACTGTTGACTCTGTATGTGCACCTCCTCTCTTGACCCCCCTCCCCCCCCCCCAAAAAAAGTACAAGGCAAAAAACCATGATGATTTCTTTTTTTCTTTTAGGCCAAGAAGCAGAAATGGCTCTGAACATTTGGAAAGAGTAACTGTGTTCACAGATAACTGGATAAACGAAACCTGTTCTCTCCAGCGGCCTCTGAGGAGGGTGGCTGGCGCAGCTGAGGAGCAGGTTTGTTTCTGTTGAAGCCAGAGAACCTCGCCTCCCTAATCCTTTGTACCAACACTACCTGGTCATATGACTGGCCCTTCAGGATGGGAGGAAGCATGCGGTAGGGAGGCAAAAGCTAAGCAGGAGAGAGAAACAACGTGCTGCCATCCTTGGAAAGTTTTCTTTCATGTATTTAGAAAGCCCCCCACTTTTTTTTTTTTGAAAGATTTCTGATAACGACAGGTACATCATCTTTTACGCTAAATTAGATAATCCTAGAGAGCTGAGCAGGCATCCCTCACCATGATGCCTTGGTTTATTTTCTAGTCATGCATCCAGAGGGAGCGCTGGACAGGTAACATTCTAGCAACTTCCCTGCAATGCATTTTGAGTTAAGTGGCTACTTTCTTTTACTCAGGCAAAGGGCTTACTAATTAGGGTGAGGACCCACAGCTCCTATGGCCTAAATAACGATCAGGTTGACTGTCAAGGAGCCAGAAGAAGAAAAAACAAGGCAATTCCTCATTTTGGCAATCCCAGAAATCCATTTCCCTAAGAGCTGTGGGGGCTGATAACACAACATGTGATGTGGAAAACATGATTCTGTATCTTAACTAGTATCTTAACATATTTCATTCTTTGAAAACTCTAAATTGGTTTTAAGATGCCAGCTGTGCACCTACCATTGGGCTCACCTGGTTTCATATCAACACAGCTCAGAGCCATCAAGGGCTCCCAAAACGCACTCACCTGGAGCAGGTGGCAAATGCTGTCGCAAATGGTGTGAGGAGGCCCAAGAGGAACTTGAATGGGTTTTTTCGTGTGAAAACAAAGTAAATAAGCGGCAGAACAATTCCTCCATGAATAACATGGCCCAACATAGACGTCAAGATATATTTCCCAAGGCTGGTCACCAGCACGACGATGTCCTTCATTTCCACAATCTTGCTTCCAACCAGGAACATGATCCCCACAGGAACATACCTAGGGCATAGCACAAGGTACTTGCCAGTAAGAGTGATGTGACGTAGGTAGGGGCTGGGAGACGCAGGCCTTTCCCACTCAACACAGGGACGTTCAACTAGGCGGCCTTCGTCTCCCCCTAGGAGGATTCTGAGAATGAAAGGGATGGGCCCATTTTACAGGCCGTGAAACTGAGTAAAACTGACATGACACATCTCCGTGGGTAACGGAGACAGGATCAGAACCCAGGCTTCTTTCCCCTCGGATATGATGTTCTGAACAGATGGCTGTCACCGACCACAGGGACTCCCAAGTGGAAAGACAAGGAACTGCTCGAGATCAAAGCCTCTGGGAATGTAGTCTGACTTTCGGCTTTGCTCAGGCTTGTTTCTGAAAACTTAGAGACACAAAAGACTAGTACCGATTTCGTAGAACTGAGACGAAGCTGGGATTTTTGTGAGGCTTAAAATTCTTTGTGATTTGGGAAACATGATTCCGTGGGAGAAAGTCATTAACAATGGCCCTCTGGGGACACTCCTGGAGCGTGAAGGTATTTTTTAATGGCAGGACGAGAGGAAGGATGGGAAGGAGCAAGCCAGGGGAGCTGCAAAGAACCAAAGTCAGTTGTTTTGAATTTAATCTAAGTTGAGGAAGAATTTTATAACCATTGGCTTTTTTTTGATAAATTTTATTTATTTTGAAAAGATTTTCAAAACTTGATTTTTAGACAGAGAGAGAGAGGGAGAGAAACATCGATGTAAGAACCAAACATCAATTGGCTGCCTCCTAGATGCCCCCTACTGGGGATCGAGCCTGCAACCTGGACATGTGCCCTGACTGGAATCAAACTGTGACCTTTCAGTTCCCTTCTTCAGGTGGAGAGAGGGGGCAGCGGTTGGAGGGGGACAAGAGTGACCTCTGAAAGTGCTGGCAAGTTCTGTTTCTTGATCTGGATGAGTGTTTGCTTTGTGATAGTGATAATTCATTAAGTGATAATTCATTAAGTTGTGCACATGTTTTAAGTACTTTTCCATAAGTCATACTTCATTAGGGAAAAAAAGTGAAGGCTGGGGGCAGGACCTGGCAGGAGATCTACCTCTGTGTAGTGGTTACTAGTCACTATCAGTGACCATGTCTTTTCTTTTAATCCAAATTTTGGGAAGATTTTAGACAAAATAAACAACAGAAAACAAACAAACAAAAAACCCAGGAAAGGAACTGACCTGTGATGACAACACTTTTTCCTTCCTGGAACTATTTCTCTCCCCAGAACAACAGTCATACAAACAAAGTGTCATGTTTGCAATGATAAGAGTCAGCCTCTGGAATGGTGGTTGAGCAAGAAAATGTGGTTGAGTAAAAGAAACACCACCATTGGGGGCTTTGGATTTGGCCTCCCACCCAATTCCAAACTTTCCTACCAAATTCCAGGCTTCTCTCCTGGAATTTGGTCAGTTCAGGTGCCACCTCAATGCCACTGAGAGAGAGAAGTTCTGGGATATTTAAGGATTGACAGTTAGGAAAATGCTTTGTGCATGAAAAGATAAACTAGTTTCCTGACAATGAATGGATAGACGCTAAAATTCACAGAAATCTGGCCTGAGTGAAACAGCAGGACGAAGATGACGAGGGATGGCCACTGGAATTAGTATAATTTCTGAGGGATATCCGGTCAAAATTTTACCTTTTAGCCAAAAATCAATCTAATAATTTTGTATTAAACAATTACACTTTCATCGATACTACCTACAGAAACATTTAGGTTAAAAAAAAAAAAAAGGCTATTCCAAGTTTACATGTGCATGAATCTGTCCTCCATGTAGTGAAATACGATAGTAAAGGGCCCCTCTGAAGCTTTAGGTCTATCAGTTTAAGATAAATAAGCCTTATTTCACAGAGCAGATAGCAAACTTATGGAATTCATTGCTCCACAAGATGATATGGGCATCACATATAATATGGGATGATGGTGTGAACCCATAAGTAGATGACTGATGATCTATATATATAAAAGCCTAAGCAACCATCCGATCGTTTGAACTGTAGCTATGATGCACACTGACCACCAGGGGGCAGATGCTCAACGCAGGAGTTGCTGAGCTGTGGTGACTTGGCAGCTGTGGTAACTTGGCAGCTGCAGTTCTAGGGTGACACACCCTAGAGGAACCAGAGAGGAGGGAGCCTGATTCTGGGGTGCGTCACCTGAGAACTGCCCTCTCATAATCAGGGTCCCCTCGGGGGATGTTGGAGAGCTGATTTCGGCCCGATCCCTGCAGGCCATGCTGAGGGACCCCACTGGTGCATGAATCCATGCACCGGGCCTCTAGTAGAACCATAAGGGGTCACTGTGGGTGCTGAAGAAGTAACTGGTAACTATGGTACATGCCTGATTCTCTGAGATCCTGGACAGGAGGGGAAACTGCCTCCACCTCTATCACACCAGGACCCACCTGGGGGTGCATCAACCACATACAGAGCCCTGGGCCAGGTGGTGATCCAGAGGTGACCTAGAACAGCAGAGTCAGGTTCTTTTCTGGATGGAGGAGAGATAAGAGGGAGGGTTGGCAGCAGCGGGGAGGGCAGCAAGACTCACCACATAATCCACGACACCAGCACCATCGTCGCCTCGTTGAAGGCATTGAAGAAACGGATGAGCTCTTCTCCTTCAGAGCCTAGTTTCTTTAGGGCCACTCCTAACACGAGGGCAAAAAGGACCAATCCCAGAATGTTCATCCCTTCGATCTCGGTGCCAAATGGGATCTGCAGGATCAGAGTGGACACAGGGTCCAAGTTTACAACATATGATTGTAAAGATGCATTTGCTTTGTGTCTCCACCAGGCTGAAACACTATACCCAGAATGAGAAAAGGTTTGTATTTTCTTTAACCTTAAGTGATTTTGCAAATCAAGGGATAGGAAAGTCAAGGGGGAGATGGAGTGTAAGGATACAGAAAGTCAACAAAAATTTCACCTAGTTGCTAACTCTAAAAGCTGTTCAAAGATGGTATGGATTGAAGCAGAAAGCAGTGAGCTCCCTGTTACTGGATATATTCAGGTAGAGGTTGGACAAACAATCACTTCAAAGGGTGGCTTTTAAAAGAAGAGCTTGTTGCTGAAAAGTTCCTTCAGATCAAGAATTGATGCCTATACCTTCACCTCCTAAATGTCAATAATTCTTTTTGCTGCTAGGCTGTTAGGATGGCCTTTGAGCTGATGAAAGTCCCAAGATTTTTCAGGATTGACATGGATCTCTTCAGGATATTCGTTCCTAAATCACTGACTTTAAATGTATAGGTAAAATGCACTCTTTATTTTTCCAGTAATGCTGAATCTCACGGCTGCAAGTATATGTTAGGCAGGCATTTTACTCCAAACACATTATGAAATTCTGAACAGGAAACATGGCGTGCACAAAGAGCATTTTTACCAGAGTTCTAGTCTGACTTCTAGTCCCAGCTCTGGCATTAAATAACTTCTCTGAGCTTCAGGTTCTTCATCTGCAAGATGACGTGAATTGGATTTAATTCGTAGCTTTCAACTTTCTTTTTTAAGTGGAACTTTTCCTTCAATCACAGAACGGTGGGTAGTACTCGGAGTCCCTCAGCCCTGAGGAGGTAGATGTGTGGAAAAAGGCAAAGTACCCCCTTCTTCCCAGATAGTTCTGGGGCTGGACTGAATAATCTTTGAGGTCCCTTGTCCCTTCCTGCTCAGTGTCTGGGAAACAATAGGTACTCAAAAATATATGCGTGAATGAATAATGGCTAGAGTAAGTTAAGCCCCTAGAACAAGTTCTATGTGTAGGGGTAGGGTAAATCACCTATTAATGATATTTCAGGATAGCAGAAGGGTGTTATAAAATACTAGAGGCCTGGTGCACAAATTCGTGCATTGGTAGGGTCCCTTGTCCTGGCCGGTGATCATTGGGGCCGATGGGGGCTGGCCGGCCGGGAGGGACCGTGGGAGGTTGGCTGGCTGGGGAGGGACCGCAGGAGGGCTCCAGGGCATGTCCAGCTCGTCTTGCCCAGTCCCGATCAACCAGACCCCAGCAGCAAGCTAACCTACTGGTTGGAGCATCTGCCCCCGGTGGTCTACCAATTGATCAGACACTTAGCATATTAGGCTTTTATATATATAGATATTTTAGGAGAGGGGACGTTAGTTCCAATTTGATGAAGTAGATCCACTAAAGATTGCAAAGCTACAGACGCTAGACTTCGGCCATGTTGGTAAATAACTAAAGAAACAAACCAAGACCATGTGCTTTGAACAGCCCACCCAAACCCCAAAGTTTTCAGCCCTGCTTGAAAAAAGATGCATTGTGTGGGCTCCTGCAATTAAGAAGCATTCTTTACTTTATAAGTATTCATCGCAAGTGATCTTACAAAGAGCTTTACCTTCTCAAGGGTTATGTTTCCATTGCTCACGTTGTGGGGGTCCATTTTATAATCAGTTGCATACTGTAAGTGAGAGAAAGAAAAATCACTGTCAGTGCACAGGGGAAGATGGGGCTGAATAGCTGGGCCTCTAGCTAGTCTGTCATTATTCACATCAAGTGTTGGGGCATTGCTCAATTGGTTGGCCTGACTTTAAGACCAAGGCAGCATGTACTTCAAGAGGCCTCTGGTTAGATAGGGAACCAGGGAGAATGTCCTTATGCCCTTGGACAATGGTTGGTAGGTCTGCCCAATTGCATGCTGAGAGCTTGATATTTCAAACAGCTGAGAGTTCACAGTATTTAGAGAACCTTGGTATTAATTCCATAATGCCCAAGTTGACTTTTCAATGTGTCCATTTATGTGTATTCATTTACTTATGCTCCATTTGGTTCCAGAATTTGTTTGAACATGACTGTTTTTCAGAATCTATTTCTAATGGGCCAGAGCCTCCACTCTCCAAAGCAAAGGATGTCAGGCGAGCTGGTGTTCCTGGCTGAGCCTTCTGAGAGACCCACTTCTCTGAAGTGAAACACCTCTCCAGCTTTGGCCTACAGCAGACTGCACATATTTCTGCACAGGTGTCTCCCAGTGGCAGCAGGCATGATCGAGTGGAATCTGTTATGAAACACCCTTCCTGGTCTGTTCTGAGGACAGCTGGCTTCTGCGCTGTCAAGAGCAGTGTGTTAGGAGGCCTGGACCCGGAGACCAGCTCTGTGCCCGCCTTTGAGGAGCTCTGGTCTCTCTCAGCTTTGACTGATGGAGCTTTCAGACACGCTGAGGTGTTCAGTGGTCCTGTGATCAGGATGGCAGGAAAAACAACACTCAGCCCACATGTGACAGGCACCGAAACCCCATATGCCTTTTCTTTTTCTCCTACCTCATGTTGTATACAGAAGCCACAGCTGTGCTTATATGCAGATTTGTTTTGTGTTTTTTAAAGAGAGAGGCTATAATTAGAAACAGAAAAGTCTTTATTAAGGGCAATCAGGTTAGTCCATCTAATCTAGACCTTTATATTTCTTCTCTGTGTAAAGCATGGCCACAGGGATGTTACTTAGAGTAATGCTAAAATTAGGGAAAAACTGAAAACAAGCTTAATGTCCATCAATAAGAGACTGATGGAGTAAAATCATGGTACACTCATACAGTGGAATACAACCAATAACATGTGCAGGGGGGTTATTTACTGATGTGAGAAAATCTTCACAATATACGGCTTTGAGAAAGAGTTTAGAGTGAAAAAAAAGTTTAGAGTTTACAAAAAAGTGGAAGAAAATAAAATAATCATCCATACTCACCACCTAGAGCTACCCATGAACATTTTGATATACATCCTTCAGATCTGTTTTTCTCTATGCATGCCCACATGTTTAAAAAATAATCATACTAAATATGTTGTATGGCCGGTAGCTCAGTTGGTTAGAGTGTCATTCTGATACTACACCAAGGTTGTGGGTCTGATTCCAGGTCAGGGCACATATAAGAATCAACCAATGAATGCATAAATAAGTGGAACAACAAACTGAAGTTTCTCTCTCTCCCTCCCTCTAAAACCAATAAATTAAAAGAAAAATCTTAAAATTATAAAAGAGAGTTTACAAACAACATATTTAGTATGATTATTTTTTAAACATGTGGGCATGCATAGAGAAAAACAGATCTGAAGGATGTATATCAAAATGTTCATGGGTAGCTCTAGGTGGTGAATATGGGTGATTATTTTATTTTCTTCCACTTTTTTGTACTTTACTTTTACTCTTTTTGCAATGAGCATATACTTCCTTTATAACCCGAAAAAAGATACCATTATACTTGAAAAATATTCTAAACTATTTAAGAGAGCCCGAAAATGTGATCGGAGGGTATTTCTCAGGTGATATGAAAAGATGTTGGAACCAGTGGGATATTTTAGAAAAACGTTGAGTTTTGCTTTGTTTTATCCCAGGGGCCCATCTATAAAACTTAGACCAATGTTACCAAGTTTTGTTAACACCTTACCTAATTCTACAGCAATATTTTATACAACCTCCACCCCCATCAAAGGTTCATAGTTTTAACAAAGCATCAAACCTTACCGTTTTAAAAGTTGCAACCACAAGATTTGAGGGAAACAGGTTTCTGTTGGAAAAGGAAGCATTTCATCAGTATTCTTAAAATTCAGCGAAGTATGCGCTTTAAGCTTGCCCATTCCTGACAGCCCCACGTACAGTACTCCTCCTCCCTCTCCACCTCCAGCAATTACTGCGGTCTTCTGCTTGTCCAAACCCCCACCTATGCCTCGGCTGCTGGGCACCATAGAAACTTGAGTGCCCCAATGTTTATTTCCTCTCCTTTGGGGTACTATTTGATATTTATGCTCAACCAAACCAGAGGAACTGCACCCCTTTCCGTTCCCCAAGCGGGGAAGCCCTGTTGCAGAGGTTTTCAGTGGGGAGTGGTGCTGCTCCACAGTGAAATCCACGGGAGTGTTTTTATTGCGGAGATAATTGGAGGGCATTCCTGGAATTGGGGGAGTGTGTGGGAAAGTGCCGGGTGCCAGCCATTCACTCTGCTAAGTACAGCAAAGTCCTGTACAATAAATGGTCCCAAGGCCCTCACCCTCATGCCTTCCAATATCCTATACCTGCAGATGAAACCTTATAATTACCTGAGCCTAAACTAACCTCCACACAAGGCAGTTTTTGCCTAATTTGAATCTATTCTGAATTTTCTAGGAGTGCAACTATTGTATAAAACGTGGGATAATTATTCTTTTGTTTTGTTCAGAATGTTTCCAAGAACTGTTCATCTTTCTGGAAAAATCACATTGCCCAAGGCAAATGGTAAGATCTGAGTCCTTAACTGCACACATGGTATCAGGTTCCAGTCTGTATTTATAGCTATGTCATTAACAGTGAATCTAAATTCAGAAGCAAGCACTTCGTTTCAGAGCACTTACATATTAAAAACCATTATTTTTATTATAAATTACTCTTTTTACTTTTATATTACAGTTAAGTCCTATCAATGTTTTGAATAATGCAAATAGGTAAATTCTGTTTATGAATTTCATTTCAAGATGAAGGATATAAAATATTGTTACAAAAGCAGGGCAATAGAGCTGAGCTAAGCTGTGTTTTGAAACCAAAGTCTATTCGTGCAAACAGTTTTACTGAGGGCCTCCTTTGGGTCAGGCTCTTGCAAGATTCTGTTCTTAACATGTGAGAAAATCTCACCGACAGTCCATCTGTTCTACCCACTTCCTGTAAGAATAAGTCTAGGAGCGTAAACAACTCTGGATCATCCTTACAATATGAGCCAAATTTACGCACTAATTTTTACGTCTGTGGTTGAGTTGTTTACCTAACACTGGAATCTCCAGGCAACTATTTGCAATGTGTTTGGTTTCAGAGGGAGACCGGTCTGATTGCAACCCAACTCTGCAAACAGGTGGTCCCGGGGAGCCACACCTTTGTGTAATACCTTCTCCTTGAGTGTGGGTGGGGGCCCATGACTTTCTTTTACCCAAAAGAATGGAGTAAAGGTGATGGATGACACTTCGTGATTTGGTTACATAAAATTGTGGCTCCCAACGTGCGAGAAGACTCTCTTTACTGCCTTCTGGGCTTGCATGTTTGATGAAACAAGCTGCCATGTTGGACAGGCCCATCTGACAAGAAACTGAGGGTGGCCTCTGGCCAACAGCCGACTAGGAGCTGAGGCTCCCAGCCTGAACCTCAAGGACCCAACTGCTCAGAAGTGAACACTTCCCCAGTCAAGCCTTCGGAGGAGACCTTAGCTGTGGCCAACACCTGATTGCAGCTCTGTAAGAGGCCGGCGCAGAAGACTCAGCTAAGCCATGCCAGGATTCTTACCCCACGGATACTGTGAGATAATGCATGTGTGTGATTTTAAGCTGCTAAATTGTGGGCAACTTATTAATTTGTGCATTAGATAACTCGTGTGCTAGCCAACAGGGTTAATAAGATAGAAAATTTTATTACACTAAAGTTGGCTTCCTCAAGACAGCCAGTATGTAGAGACTGCAACACAGCATTTTCCAAATCTACTTGTCTGTGAAACCAGTATTGCTTTGAACATATTTAGAGAATACCGGCTCGTGCACACCTGCATTTAAGCAGACAAAATGTGATCATCAGTTAAATTAACCATTACGAAATGGTGATCAGAAATTTGAGTTCTATCACAAGCATATTTACTTAAAAAAAAAAAAAGGTAGAAAAGACTAGCAATGTGTACTATTTCTTAGTGTATAGATGAATAGCAACTTACATTTGCCTGTTATTTCCATTACCAAGCACCTTTATTACATATTTCAAACTTATGGGGTAGGTTTGGTATCTCATTTCCATATGCTATAATATTTAGAAGCAGAAGTCGGTCTTGAGGCCAGGATTTCCTATTCTACCCGCACCGCATGACAACCCTCAATAGTTCCAGGACTGAGCTGGCCACTAGGTTCTCTCCCCAAGAGGGCAAGGAAGTTAAGGACGAGCTGGGTTAGAAGCTCTCCATCAGTCTCTATGGGGAACAACTCCTGCTGGATGTACCTTGCATCCTTAAGGATTAGCAGTTTCCTCAATTGGTACAAGTACAGCCTCCCGACAACCTTGAAATACACTCTCTTCCAAAGAGTACATGCTATTTGTTTAAACCTTGCTAGTTAGCCTGCCTGGTCTCCTTAGCATGAGCAATAACCCAATACTGTCTCACCCACATAGACCATGACCCTCACCCAGAACTTCTAGACCAGCCATTGACACACTGACCTGTTTTCAGACAGTCTACAGTATCTAGTCTACAAAATCCAATGGGAACAGAGAGGTACAGACAATACTAGAGGCAAAACAACAACTCCTGTCCCCCCCACCCCCTTACCCAAAAAACCAATTTCCTTAGAAGAAAACAATATATCCTTGCAGTTTCTTACAAAGTTAAACATACACTTACCATATGACCCAGCAATTCCATTTCTGGATATTTACAAGAGAAATGAAAATATGTCTGCGAAAAGGGCCTGTATGGTTAATATTAACAGGGGTCCTCAAACTACGGCCCGTGGGCCACATGCAAATACAAATATTGTATTTGTTCCCGTTTTGTTTTTTACTTCAAAATAAGATATGTGCAGTGTGCATAGGAATTTGTTCATCGTTTTTTTTTTAAACTATAGTCCGGCCCTCCAACAGTCTGAGGGACAGTGAACTGGCCCCCTGTTTAAAAAGTTTGAGGACCCCTGGTTAATAATCTTAAACATAGTAGCCTCAAACCCAAATGTTCACCAACAGATGAATGTACTGATTATGATAAACTTGCACATTGAAATCCTACCTGGCAATAAAAAGAAACCAACTACTAATATATGCAACTGGATAATCTCAACAACATTGTGCTGGGCAAACACAGCCAGACAAAGAAAAGCACATGCTGAATGATTCTATTATTATGAAACTCTAGTAAAAGCAAAACTAATCTGTAGTGACAGAAAGCAAAACTTTCTCCAGCCAGGGGCGGAGAGTGGGCATTGCTGAGAAGGGTCATGGGTGACAGAAATGTTCAGTGTCTGGATTGTGGTGATGGTTAAGGGAGTTCTCTATTTGTAAAAACTCACTGAAATGCACACTTAAAAGAGGTGTGTTTCATTGTATGTAAATCAGACAAAATGCTTTAAAAGTTAAAAAACAACAACAACATATAGTGCTAACTGCAAAGGAGATTTTACAACCAAAAAAATTTACATTCAATGGAATGAACTTTCTTTAGATTATACAGCTCAGCTCTCAGATAGTAATCCCCGGGAAGGGATTGCCTGGGGGCAGTGAGCTGAAGCTCATGCACCCACACAATCCTATTCCTTTCCCTTGGTCCCTCTGGTTGCCACAGACCAAGAAGAGGAGCAGCAGTCCCCTCCTGCCCATACCAAGGGGCAAAGAGCTGAGGCTGTGATTTAGTCAAGCCAAGTATCTGACAGATTGTGTCTTTGCTATTGTATCTAAAAGTCATTGCCATACTGGAAGCCACCTAGGTTTTCTCCTGTGCTATCTCCTGGGAGTTTTACAGTTTTGCATTTTACATTTAGGTCTGTGATCCATTCCGAGTTAATTTTTGTGAAGGGTGCTGGGTCTGTGTCCAGATTCATTTTTTTTGCATGTGGACGTCCAGCTGTTGTGGCACCATCTGTTGAAAAGATTATCTTTGTGCCATTGTATCACCTTTACGCCTTTGTGAAAGATCAGTTGACCATATTTATGAGAGTCTATCTCTGGCTTTCTATTCTGTTCCATTGATCTATTTGCCTATTCTTTCACCAAAATCACAGTCGTGATTACAGTAGCTTTATCACTGTAAAGTGTTAGGGTCGGGTAGTGTCAGTTCTACAACTTTGTTATGTCTGCGCTCTTCTTACCCCTCTCCTTTCAAACACATACGCTGCTGTGAGCTCAGGATTTTTCTTACTCGTGACCTCTCCTGTATCCAAGGTGCTCATCATCCAAGCAGTTTTGCTTCCCAGAGCTCTGTCTTAGGCATTTTCCTCCAACTCCTCACATTCACACAATAACTTTGCGGGCTTTTAAAATACGGAGCTGGAAGGAATTTTAGCGGTGACCACGTTCAACCCTCCTCTCCGCTCCCCCACACTGTTAGCACATGGTGACACCATAGCTCCGAGACCAGCACTGTCCAACAGAACTTTCTATATTTGTGCTAATATGGTAGTCATGTGGCTACTGAGCACTTGAAATATGGCTAGTGCTCTTGAGGATCTGAATTTTAAATTTTGTTTACATTAAAAATTTAAATGACATATTTAAATTTAAGTAGCCTCTTGGGACTGGTGTCTGTCAGATTGGACAGTGCAGGTCTGGAGTACAGAGATCAGAGTCTGGAAATCAGAGGCCAATGCTCACTGCTGCACCGCACTCAGCCTCGCTGGCTGTTTGGGTGCTTCTAACTACTGAGATCTTCATCTTGTTTAAATTCTCAAATATTCCTTCTTTCTGTTATTTGATCCTGAGATGTTTACATGAATTACATAAGACCAGATACACATTAACCAAAGTTTCTCAAACATCAATAATCCGTGAAATCAAATGTATGGGCTCTCACCAGCATTTTAT